ATCCCAGCAAGTGTTCCTCAGTTTCCATTTTGATGCTCCCACATCCTCAAGTGCTTTCCAAGACACACACACACACACACACACACACACACACACACGGAGATTCCAGAGGCAGACGGCTACAGGTGCTGGGGATGAGTTTTTGACTCACGCTAAGACTCAAGTGAGATTCTGTTGAGCATCAGAGGGAACTCACAGTTCAGCTGCGGAGGGAGCCTGTGTTTTCACTCCCTTTGGCTCAGGGGAGATTGTGCTGGGCTGAAGGTAGCCTTGTGTTTCCCTGTCCATGAACCTGAATGGAGCCCTGTCATAGGGCCTTGCTGGGCACCGTAAACAGGATTAGCAATTCTCACTTCCTGACTCTCAAGGCACCTGTGGGGTTGGAGAAATGAGATAGCAGAAACCCAAACACAAGGCCATGAACCTAAGTCAAAGAACAGACCGTGTCATCATCCTTAATGTATATTTGGGGACTTGGGCTCAGAGAGGTGATAGCTTGCCCAAGGACACACAGCCAGTAAGCAGCAGAGTGTCTGGCCACCTGTGCCACTCTGTTAGGCACAGACTTGGCCCTGTGGTGACAACCACAGCAGGCAAAAGGGATGCCCACAGGTCAGGTCATTCCATGTGACTTTGCTTCAGATCATCACTTACCGGGACTACCTGCCCCTGGTGCTCGGGCCAAGAGCCATGAGGAAGTACATGCCCAGGTATCGCGGCTACAATGATTCGGTGGACCCACGTATCGCCAACGTCTTCACCAATGCCTTCCGCTATGGTCACACCCTGATCCAGCCCTTCACATTCCGCCTGGACCACCGGTACCAGCCCACAGGGCCCAGCTCCCGCGTCCCCCTCAGTACGGTGTTTTTTGCCACCTGGAGGGTAGTGCTGGAAGGTGAGCAGGTCCCAGGCCAGCAGAGGGCGGGCTGGCAGTTGAGGCGGCTGGGGTGGGCTTGGGGACAGCCGTCAGAGCGGGGAGGGGCCGTCTGTCCTTCCAACTCTGGAGCTCTGCCTTTCCAGCCTCAGAGCCCCTGACTATCTTTGGGGAATAGTAAGGAGTGGGTGGCATGTGTGGCCCTCAGAGGGCGCTGACTTCTCCCTCTGTGACCCAGAAGGTCAGGCCACCTTGCACTTCTGAATGACCATCATCTGAGAACCAGGTGCCACTGCAGCCAAGCAGGGCCCTGTGAGGGCTTGCTCCTGGGGCAAGGCACCAGGCGTTGTGTGTGGCCTGCCCTCTGCTCCAGTCTCCTTCACCCCACCTGGACTTGCCCTGCCTCTGACCGGAGCTGGGACACGGAGCCAGATCTTTCTCCCCACCTTGTTCCTCTTGCCCCCAGGTGGCATTGACCCCATCCTGCGGGGTCTCATGGCCACCCCCGCCAAGCTGAATCGCCAGAATCAAATTGCTGTGGATGAGATCCGGGAGCGGCTATTTAAGCAGGTCATGAGGATTGGGCTGGACCTGCCTGCCCTGAATATGCAGCGGAGCAGGGACCATGGCCTGCCAGGTGAGGGCCTACCACTGCCTAGGGAACCCCCAGCTCCCTGCCCTCTCCTGTGCACCTCGCTGCCCATGGTGGCCCTGGCCAGCTGACTCAGACCCCTGCCTCTCCCTCCGGGTGTATGTGTTCCATTTCTAACTCCTTTGCATGCTGAACCCTTAAACAGAGCATCAGCACCACAGCAGTAGCCACAGCCTGAAACTCAGTTCCTCCCATCGTCACCTCATGTGGCTTGTCATGCATGAGCTCTGAGGGGGAGAGATAATGATTGCTCCTACCCCACTGATGAGCAGGTTGATGGTGGAGGACATTCAGAACCTGGCCATGGACTCTGGCCTCATCAGTGACCGCACTGCCCTTGGAGCCTGGCTCAGCCTCTGCCTCCAGCCAGAGCCTACATACAGGGTGGCCAGCCTGGCTGAACCTGGGTTGGAGAGGGACGCACCGCACTGCTCTGGGGGATGCCCTATCCTTATTCTTGGACCTGGCAAGGTTTATGGCAATTCAGGCCTTGCCTGAGACTGGGAGAGCAAGAGAAGAACGTGAGGGTCCTCAGATGCCCGGCCGTTATCCCTCAGTTTCCCCACCTAGTTCTAGGGGTTCAGCGCTCCCTCTGTGCAGGACCTCGGTGCTGGGGAGGGTGGGTTTTGTGGGCTGATGATGTGCATGCAGATCTTACCTGCCACCTCAGGAGTTGTAACACATGGACCTACCCAAGCCACCTGTCCCTACTGTACTTGCATGCAGGGTATAATGCCTGGAGACGCTTCTGTGGGCTCCCACAACCCAGCACAGTGGGTGAGCTGGGCACAGTGCTCAAGAACCTGCAGCTGGCGAGGAAGCTGATGGCGCAGTATGGCACGCCCAACAACATTGACATCTGGATGGGCGGCGTGGCTGAGCCCCTGCAGCCTGGCGGCCGTGTGGGCCCGCTGCTCGCCTGCCTCATTGGCACTCAGTTCAGGCAGCTGCGGGATGGTGATCGGTGAGGGGCGGCAAGGGGCGGGGCATGGGGGCGTCGGGTGTGGGGCTGTGAGAGTCAGGGAGTTTTCGATGTGTCCTAAAGAGACTCCAGGGGGACTTTTACCTGAACCTGCAGGGGGCTGGGAGTGGGGGTGTAACAGGAAGGGAGCCAATGCCATGGTCATGCCAGAAGACGAAAGCCAGGCCTGCCTGGTTGTCTGTTCTTGGTGAGGCCACTGTGCACCCCCAGAAGTGTCAGTCGCTGTTGAGGCTGCTGCCCAGGTTTCCCACGGACTTCCCTTTCACTGTAGTCCTGCCAACTTTCACATCCAGGTCGTGGCTATTCTGCAGGCACCTCTTTGGGGACATGAGGACAGAGGACCTCCTCTCAGAGTGGCAGGAGTTCTACTTCTGCATGGGCAGTCCCAGCCTGGGCCTTCTCCAGTGACTGACTGCAGGGTTGGCTCTCGGTCGGGCAGAGGCCACAGGGCTGGGGACGAGAGGAAAGCAGTGCTGGACCTGGGGGCTGTGAGTGGGAGGCCACCGATGGGAAGACCTCTGGGCTGCCAGGGGCTGTGCTCTCCCTCGGAGCTCCTCGGGCACAGTGGCTGCTGTGTTCTCCATGCAGGTTCTGGTGGCAGAACCAGGGCGTGTTCAGCGCACAACAGCAGGCGGCCTTGGCCCAGATCTCCTTGCCCCGCATCATCTGCGACAACACAGGCATCACCACCGTGTCCAGGAACAACATCTTCTTGTCCAAAATATTCCCCCGGGACTTTGTCAGCTGCAGCTCACTCCCCGCGCTGGACCTGGTTTCCTGGCGGGAAAGGGCCTAGAGGCTGGGTAAGGGGGTGCTCTAGGGAGGGGGGACCTGGCTGGACGTTTAGAAATACAGATCCCTGTCTGTAGGTGAGCCTGCTTCCATTTTTGTCCCTCTGAGACCACGAGTGCCGGTTCCTCACCCCTGGGTGTGTGCACGTGTGTGTGCGTGTTGTGTTTCAGAGCTGTGGAGGAGGACCCTGGGGAACCTTCCCTGGGCCTTTTATCCCCGGAGGGCAGCTGGCTGGCTCCTGCCAGTGTGGGGCCCAGACCGAGCAGAACAGAGCCACCTCCCTCGCTTCCATACCCGTCCCTTCCTGCATATGAGGAGTGACAGTCCCCACACCCTCCTGACCATTCACTGCTATAGCAGGTGTCTGCCCCTCGCCCACTCTGTGCCAGGCCTGCTGCCCAAGCTGGGAAGGGAAGGGGAGGAAGCAGCAGAAGCAGCAGGGCCATCCCCACCCCCTGCTCCATATGATGGGACTTCTAGAACTGTGTCCCTAGAGGGTGGGAACCTCTGATTTCTGCATGGGGCTAGGCTGAGGGTCGGGGGGTTGGGCCTGGCAGGGGGTGGGGTAGGAGTGTGGGCCAGACTGAGAGAGGAAGGGTAGCAGATTTCCCCAGAGGCCGCATCCTTCCTTGCTTCCTCCCCATATGGGACCAGAAGGTGTGAAGGATACTGAGGGCTCACCTGCTCCCCAGCACTCCAGGCCAGGCTGGGCCCTCTGTGAGGAGAGCACAAGAGGGAGCATCCTCCTGCCATTTCACAGGTGGGAGAGGGCTGCTCATTCCCAGCCCCTCCAAGAGCAGGGTACCAGGGACAGGGCAGTGGGGCTGGGAATGGGGCTGTGCTCTGGGGCTCTGCCCGCAGGACAGATAAGGCCTTCCCACCTGTACCCCATCTCTCAGGGGGTCTGGAGGCCCTACTGCACTAACCCTCTCTGGCCCCACCCAGCCCTAACCCCACCTGCACGAAAATGTTGTTCAATTCAAAAGAGCACACACACAGGGCTGGTGTTGTGGCACAGTGGATTAAGCTACAACCTGCAATGCCAGCATCCCATGTCAGAATGCTGGTTCGAGTCCTGGCTGCTCTGCTTCTGTTTTAGCTCCCTGATGATGGAAGTGGGCAGGCAGTGGAAGAGGACCTGAGGAGGAGCTCTGGAGGGGGTTCCAGGCTCTTGGCTTCGGACCAATCCAGCTCCAGCTGCTGTGGCCATTTGGGGAGTGAACCAGTGGAGGGAAGACCTCTCTCTTCTGCATTCACTACCTCTCTGCCATTCAAATAAACCAATCAATCTTTTTTTAAAAAAGAGCCCATGCGTCTGTCTATTGGGCAGCAGCTCAGGGACTATTCCTGGGATGCCCCCTCAGAGCCTTCACTGACTCCAAGAACCATCTCGAGGGAGGGTAATTTCCGGAATGGCTTCTGAAAGGAAATGCATTTGCCTGACGGGGATCCTGGCTTGGTTCTCTTTTCTGTTTTCTTGTTTGGCACCACCGACTCGATTTCTTTCCAGGCCCCTCTCTTGGTTGCCTGATGGCCACTGCTTCTCACCAGGAGCCCTCTGCCCCTTCCCCTTCTTTGAGAACTCTTGCAGCTGCCCCTTTGCCCGCTCCTTCCCCATGCACATGGCCTCTCAGACGCAGGACTCGGGGTCAGCTGCCCAGGTCTTCCAAAGGGGGAGAGTACATCAATGGCTCGAGTCCATCCTCAGCTGTTTACTTAGTGCACTGATCACCTTGTCGGCTCAGGGAGCTGACAGCCCAGACCAGAAGGGTGTCTCACAGGCACTAAGCTTGATAGAAAACAGGGTTTCCGTAGAGGTGGAAGGGTCGGGTGGTAGAGCTGCAGGGGTCTGTCCCCTGGGCTAGGGCCAGCTCCTGGCTGGTGAGTGCACAGAAGCCTGGCTGACAACCAGGGCTGGGACTGGAGTGTCCCTGGGGAGCGTTGAGGAATGGGAGGTGTCATGGACCAGGGGGAGCTTTACTGAGCAGTATGGGCAACTATGGGTCCCAGGCCCTACTCCTCCCTGGAGGCCCAGGGTGTGAGGTCCAGCTTATCAATGGCTGAACAATTCACAAAGCCTTGAGGGTAGCTGTTGGCTTGGAATGGATGCAGGGGGACCTTAGTGATGTGGGTGTTGTCACAGACGAGACGTGAGAAGGACACTTTCCGTAGGGCATCCCGCTGCTTCTCTGTGAAGACCCCAGGGTTTTCCCACCAGAACCTGTGGAGACAGAGACATGGTCTCCCCATTTGCTCGTACTGCTCAAGGGAGAGAAGGAGGCCCCTGGGGGGCATTAAATAACCCCACCTGTGCTAAGGCCTGGAATTGGCCCTCCCCAGTGGCCCTGGGACCCCCACCTGGGATAAGGGGTCCCCTGCGCACCCCCATCTAACCAGGCTGCCCTTGCCTGTCTCCGTCGCGGATTTGCTGGAACTGCTTGCCCAGGAGGCAGGCCAAGAGAGGCCCGCCCCTCCCCCTTTCCACCAGGGGCTCAGCAATGGCTCCCACCCAGATGTCAATGTTGTCTGGGGTCCCGTAGAGATCCAGTAACTTCTTAGCCAGTTCTGGGTTCTTGAGTACAGCAGTCAGCTCCTCCAGGGTCCGGGGCTGTGAGAGGCCACAAAAGCCTCGCCATGAGTTGTACCCTAGGGCCAAGAAAAGCCATGAGGCCACGTCATTGCAGGACCTTCCTGCTCATGGCTCCCATTGGGGACATGTCCCTTCCAGCCCCACAGCCCAGAACATCTGAACTCATGGTCTTTGACATGACAAAGGCAGTGACTGACACTTTAGTGTCTAGTAGGTTCCATGGTGCCTACTGTGGTTCCAAGTACTCTAAGAACTGTACAGAGAGGTTAGCTGGAAGAGGATGCAGAACAAGGCAGCCCAGGGTCTGCAGGTAGAAAAAGGCATAACTTGGATTTGAGCCCACACAATTGCCTTCCATGGGAGTGAAAGACTCAATGGCTACCAGTTTTCTGGTCTTCATCGTTTTTGGACTTTTAAGCTGGTTTCACAGGTTAGCTGTTGTTTTTTAATTGAGCAACTCCAACAGAGAAGCAGATGTGTGCACCTGGCTCTCCATGAGGGATAAGCAGAGTGAAGTTTTAAAAACCGGGCTGGGGGAGCATTTGCCCAGGGGTTAGGACCCTGGCTGGGATGCCCACATCCCAAATTGGGGTGCCAGGAGCTCAAGTCTCCACTCTGCTTCCTTTTCTGCCTCCCTGCTATTGTGTATATTGGGAGACAGCAGATTGTAACTCAATTACCTGGTCCCCGCTACCCTAATGGGAAACCTGGCTTAGGATCCTGGCTCCAGGCATCACCTTGGAACAGCCCTGGCTGTTGCAAGAATTTAAGGGTGGACCAAGGGATGGTCTCTCTGCCTCTTGTTCTCCATCTCTATGCCTCTCAGGCAAAAATGAAAACAAACAAGCCCAACGTGGCTGGCTTGCCTTTAGTTTTAAAGTCAGTTGGATTCCCAAGGTTTCAGAGGGGAGTCTCCAGGAGCCCAGAGAGGAGCTAAATGTTCCTCCAAGCTGGGGAGAGCCCAGCCCACTCACCAGGCTGCCCGTGGTCCCGGCCCCGCTGGATGTTGATGGCAGCCAGATCGAAGCCGTGGATCCTGTGTGTTGGCTGAAAAAGCTTGTTGCGCAGCTCTCCTGTCATCATTTTATTCTGATCCATCAACTTGGCCTTGCTGGCCAGCAGACCCCGCACAAAAGGATCCAGCCCCCCTGCAAAGGGAGGCCCAGAGGCTATCCTTAGTATGTGGCTGAGTGGGGACATGCCACGCAGCTGAGCCCTGTCTCCAGCAGCCTGGCAGGCAGCAGGCGGGGTGTGCTGGAGGAGGGCGAGTCCACACTGCCTGCGGCTGGGGAGGGGCCCAGTGGCATGAAGGGCAAGTGTGGACACCAAGCTTCAGGTCATCGTGTCGGGACCTTTTACTTCTCTACACGCCCCTGGAAAGCCCAGCAACACACAAAGGGGCAGCATGAACCCTTCTCTGGCAGGCCTCAAGCAAAACCAGTTTCAGCCCAGCCCAGGTATGAGAGAGGGCCAAGTCCAACCTAAAGGCCCTGCATGCCAGCAGAAAGCTTTCAGGGAGAATGGAGGAGAGCAACTTATTGGACAATCCCAGAATTCATTCCTTCTTCTTGAGGTCAGATAAGCCTACCTGGAAAGGAGACAGGGAACCCTGGGGATGCTGAGGAGCACAGATCTGCTGCTCTTGTCTGGGGTCCCACAGGGAATGCTCCCCTGGAAGGACATACCATCTTGGACTATCCTCCAGGTGTTGAAGAAGAGGGTGTGCAGGGGGAGTTCTGGCTCTGAACCCCATGGCTGGTAGTTCTCATCCAAGCGGGACACGGTAGAAGGGACCTCCAAGTGGCCAAAGCGGAAGGCAAAGGTAAAGACATTGGAAATTCGGGGATCCACCGATGTATTGTAGCCTCGATATGGGGGAATCCATGTCTGCATCTCGGCTCCTAGCACGGTGGGCAGGTAGTCCCTAAAGGTGATGATCTGGGGGGAGAAGCAAGTCCCAGGGAAAGGGTGTGAGAAGGCACAGGGAGACTTCAGGAAGTCTGTGGTCACACGGACAATCACAATCCACAATTCCCGCTCCTGTGACCACGGCGGACAGTGCTAATTGATTGTGCCACTTTTCCTCTGAACACACAATGGGGTGTGGTCATTTGAGGTGCAGCCCCATCACCATCTTTGCTCTAACCTTATGAATTGGAGGCTGAAGTGGCAATCCTTGTGTGTCACTTTAAGGAAACCCTGTCGTGGTCCCTCTAAGGAAAAAATGAAGGCCAAAGAAGGCCAAATGAAGGCCAATGAAGGCCAAAGTCTGGGCCCCTAACTCAAGATGGCTGGTGACCTTGTAAGAAGAGGACACGCATGAGCACAGGATGACAGTCAGCCTTCTGCCAGCCAAGAGCGGGCTTCAGGAGCACCTTGACCTTGCACGTACAGCTGCAGGGGGCCGTGTTGAGCTGTGCTCTCTGACATTTTGCCATCCCTCTTCTACTCCCTAGACATTGAGTGAGTTTTGCAAACCTTGCCAGTAACCTTACGTCTGGGTCCAATTTTTAAATAATAAATATAGAACTCTGGAGCTTTTGAGGAAGACACAAAGGATGAGATTCTGTGGCAGCCAACAGGCCATGCACGGGACTTTGGGCTCCAGGACGAGCTGCCATCATCTCACTTTGCTCTGTTCCTGTTCACTCATTGTGTGACACAACACCCTCTCCCGCACCTCTGGGGTGTTGACGCAACAGGCAGTGAGTAAAGGACTGTGAGAGCTGGCAAGGAGAGGGCAGCTCAAGTGGAACTCCAGGGCTCCAGGATGAGAGGGCTCTGAGCTGCACATCCTTGGACCAGGGCTGGAGGAGCAGGTACTCTGGGACCTCCCATAGGAACAGAAAAATAAGGAGCCAAGAGAAAGGATGGGGTAAGGGGAGTGGGCTGTAGGCCTCGGCGCACACATCCCAGCCTCTGTGAGTTCTGGCCACTCAGCCCCAATCCATGTTCCAGGCCACTGGCTGCTCTGTTGGGCCTGCAGTGGTGGCCCCAGGGAGGCCTTCGTGTCTCTTCACTGAGCAGGTCCAGGTCTAGAGGAATCTACTGCCCTACAGGTTACTTAGCAACGGCAGGCAGCCAGAGAAGTACCTATCGGCTCTGCAGAGCGCAGCCCAGGCATGGAGTAGCAAGTATGCAAGCATTAGAATGCAGTGGGCCAGAAGAGCAGCGTGAGGCTCAGCCAACCAAGTACTACTGGAGCAGACACCCTGAGCAGCCTGGGACCTCCAGGCTAACCCTGACCAAGGTCACCAGGTACTGAAATAGAAATTAGAACCAAGTCTCCTAACATAGAAACTGGAATGCCTGGGACCCACCTGGAAGTCACTGCTAACACCAAGAGAAAGTTACATTATTTGAGTGAGAAAAAGAAATCATCAAAAGCCAACAGCAGCACAAGTCAGATGTTGAAATCATTCAACAAAGATTTTAAAGCAGACCAAAAAATGGTTCAAAAAAAATCAATGAATGATTCTTTTGAAACAAATACAGCTGGAACATCTTAGCAAGATGGTAGGAATTATATGTTTAAAAAAAAGAGGTAAAATGAAATTTTAGAACTGAAAAGAAACAAACTGAAATTTAAAAAGCAAAACCAAAAAATCCCTGGGGGCCAGTGTTGTGGTATAGTATGTTAAGCTGCTGATTTTAAAGCCAGTCTCCCGTGTCAGAATGCTTGGTAGAGTCCTGGCTGCTCCACCTGGGATCCAACTCCCTGCTAACATGCCTGGCAAGGACCCCTAGGTCCTAGGACCCCTGCCACCCACTTGGGAGAACAGAGTGGAGTTCCTGGCTCCTGGCATCGGCCTGGCCTAGACCTGGTTGGTGTGGCCATTTGGGAAGTAAGCTGGTGGATGGAAAAATCTCTTTCCCCTCTCTTTCAGCCTATTGAATAAGCATGTAAACAGATCTTTAAGAAGAAGAGATAAAGATTGGGTAGAACCAACAGTGAAAATAATCGGGGATAGGAAAGAATTTGAGTTTGTTGAATCTGAACAACAGACAGAAAACAGAACCCCCGTATTCTGTGGCACACGGACAACAGAGCTCTTATTCATATCCACAGAATTCCAGATGTAGAGGAAAAACGTGTGACACTGAGAAACTATGTGAAGAAGCAACGCCTGAAAATTCTCCAGAGTGAAGCGGTAGTCTCATGTAGGTATTTATCTGCGCACTTAACCCATGCCCGGCAGTAGGTAAATGGTTCATGTACAACAGTACATCCACCCCATGGTCTACGCTCAGCCTTAGGAAAGAATGAATGGATGGATACAGGCAGCAAGTTGGCTGAAATGAACTTGGAAGATATTTTTCTTCATGAAAAAGCCCTGCACGTTTGCACGCTACATGATTCCATTTCACATCAGAGGAGTGAGAGAGCATAGCCACGGGGCTGGAGAACCCGTGTGAGGGTCGGGGAGGAGCAGGTTGTTGAGGCTTTACCATCAGGGGTGGCAGGAGGGAGTCAGGTGGTGAGGTCCAGCTAAGCACCCTTATGCTGGTGGTAGTTGTACGAAGCTATGTGTGTGATCAGATGACACTGTTACGTGGACCGCTTCCCCCAGCACGACTGCATTTGTAAAGGGTGAAATACGAATATGCTGTCTGGTTTACTGGAATGCCTGATGCCTGGTTTTGTTGCTGTGCTGGGGTTATGCACAGTGTTAGTACTGAGGGGGGCTTTGTGAGGAGTGCAGGCGACCTCTTTCTGTAGTTTTTGTAACTTTCTAAGAAGGTATAATCCTTTTGAAGTAAAATGCTGTTTAGAATATGTGGTTAATATCAACATGTCTCTTCCTATTAGTCAGCCAAGCAACTGTGTCACTTGAGTATGCATATGACATGATCTTAGGAGCAGGGAATTCAAAAGGAAGAAAATCAACTCAAAGTAGCCCAAATCACAGCTTGGTAGCAATCCCAGGAGTGACGATGCCTATAACCCCAACAATGGCATCGGGGCAGGGGACGCTGAGGGGACAAGGCCTGAAATACTCTCCAACACTCTGCATCTGGGCAGTTGATTTTGGCTAGAGATGCTGAAGAAATGGAAAGAGGGATGGAGGATTTGTAGGCCTGAGGCCATAGGGGTGAAGCCACAGAGGGCTATGGAAGAGGTACAGTGAGCAGGAGGTGTGACATGAAGCGGGCGGGCTGAGCCACAAGCAGGTGCCCACTCCCCAGGGGGGCATACCTGAATGAAGGCACCCAGGATTTTACGGGCCTCCTGGTAGAGCTTCTCTCCATCCCAATGAGGGTTGAGTGCCCTCAGTTCTCCTGCCAGCCGGTTGTGCTCACGGAGAAACAGAGTCTGGGAAGTGGCCAGCAGGGTCTGCTCTGAGGCCCGAGAGTCTCCTAGAAGCCCAGATGCAGGCGGGTGGATCCTCCTGGGACAGCCCCAGGCCCCAGCCCGTGACAGCGCCCCCAGCCCCTCTCCTAAGCCCCTCCTCCAATGCACTTAAGGGAGGTTGGCTGGAGAGGGATAAGTGGGTGGGAATCACTGATTGGAATCTCAGTTCTACACTCACGCTTTTTAGCTGGGCAAGTGGTTTAATAGTGCTGGACCTCTGTATTCCTATATGTGAAAATGGGGAGAATCTGGCTGACCACACAGGACTGTGGAAGAGGGTTCAGGAGGTATCCTCAAAATAAAAGAAGCAGGAAGCTGGAATGGGAAGTGAAGCCAACACTCAAACTCAGGTACTTGGATGTGGAGAGAGGGCATCCCAACTGGTGTCTCTTCCACTGGGCCATACATCCACTCTGATACTCATTTCCAATCTTATTTTCTACTGATTTTGGGGATCAACCCATGGGGCTTAGATTTTTCCTGAACAGGACTGGCGCCAGGGACACGAATGGCTTGGTGTATATCTCCAGAAGGGTCATAGGCAGAGGTCCCCAGATTACCACCCTGGCCCCCAGGCCTTCCTGCCTTCCTGGTCCCAGCCTGGACTTACCTGCCACAAAGCAGGGCACACGGGCCGTGCTGTTGATGAACTCGCAGGGGCTTGGCTTCTTGCTGTCGAAGGGCAAGTAGGGCAGCCCGAGGTCAGTGACCTCCTGGTTGACGGCCAGCAGGCCCAGGGGGCTGCTGAGGTTGCGCAGGCGACTAGCCAGGTCAGGTTCGGAACCATACACAAGGCTGGCATCCAGGAAGGAGGTCAGAGCGTTGATCTGCTCTCTGGCCAGGGACTGGAAGGGTGGAGTGGGGCAGACGAACCCGGCCCGGAAGAAAGGCATGCATTTTCCTTGAGTCTTCAGCTTGGAGTCATTGGGTGGGAACTGTGGGGAGATTAGACTGGGTGACTGGAAGGGTGGCATAGTGGACCCTGGCAGCTTGTCAGGGGTGGCATAGCAGGAGGCCCTGGCAGCTCGGCAGTGGTGGCATAGCAGGGACCCTGGCAGCTCGGTAGGGGTGGCACAGTGGGCCCTGGCAGTTTGACAGTGGTGGCATAGTAGGGGGCCCTGGCAGCTCGGTAGGGGTGGCACAGTGGGCCCTGGCAGCTTGTCAGGGATGGCATAGCAGGGGGCCTTGGCAGCTCGGCAGGAGTGGCACAGTGGGCCTTGGCAGCTCGGCAGGGGTGGCATAGCAGGGGGCCCTGGAAGCTCCCCTCAAGGGCTAGTTCATATGTGAAGACAGTAGTGGCACGTTTCTAAGATCTTGGTACCAGACGCTGTCCCCAGATGCCCCAAGCCACTGTTACCCTCCCTGGGCCCATAATACGCTGATACTCATGGCACCCTGCAGTCTAATCCTTCATTCTTTCATGGCTAGGCCTCAGCAGTTTTCATGTGAAGAAGCCCAAGAGCCCTGGACAGGGAAGCAGGATGTGATCTGGGAAAGTCTGTTCAGAAGGAATGCAGACCTGCTACCATTTAATCACTCTGGGCCCACCAGGTGCCAGAGATGATTACCTCTCCCTGCTGGATAAAGTCCTGCAGATTCCTGCAGCTCACTGAAGCCATCCGTCCGATCTCAGCCCTTTCTAGGGGATGAGGTGGTCCTTACGGTAGGTGAAGTCACGGTTTACGGCAGCGTGCCAAGAGTCTCACCATGGACAACATGACTCTGGGGGACCCTGGTAAGGTGGGGACTCTCTTGGCCAGTGTCTGGGATGAGGCATTGCTTATAAGCTTCCCCCATCTCACCAGGTGACGAGATTGCTACCGTAACCCTTTGTCCTTGGGGATAGGGACAGCATCTCTCTCACTTTGGAATCCCTGGCACTTAGCATACTGCCCAGCATGGGGTAGATGGCTATGTCCACTTACTGAATAAATGACAACTGGTGAGGCCTGGGAAGCGATCGAATGAGCACTCAAGACCTACCAAGTCCCAAGAGACACTAGTGGATGCACTGAGGTGTTCTGCTATGTCAGCTGGGCGAGGGGCTTATTGGGGACCTCCCAGGGACCAGGAGGGGGGCTACCGTGATGGGGAAGCAGTTGCCACTCTGGACACAGTACTCCTCACACTGGGCCTTGGAGTGCTCGCTGCTGCCCAGCTCGGTGTCGGGGGCAAAGTCCAGGTCGTGGTCCACAATTTGACCCCACTGCATGAAGAGCAGGGACCTGTCTGGGTCCAGAGCACCTTCCTCATTCAGATAGCCTGCGATCTCATTGGATACCTCGCGGGCCTGCAGGTGGAGAGAGGGGAGGTCACAGAGCACCCAGGAAGAGTGCACGTTGAGCCCCCAGGAGGAGCTTGTAAGGCCCCGTGATTTGATTCCAAGACAATTGAAGTCAGTTCTGGAAGAACTGCAACCGAGCCCTGCACAAGCCCTTTCCACTCGAGAGAACAAAGCCAGGCTGCTGCCTCCCTCATATAAAGGCTTGGGAGTGCCAGGTGCCTGAAAACGGGAGCGGGGCCCAGGGGAGCGGCTGTCAGCTCAGATGAGGCCAACAGGCACGATCTCACAGCAGACAACAGCTGATGCGCGCCAGGCGATGGAGCAGGGGAAACCCGGGCAGTATGGGACAGGGAGGCAGACTGCTCGGGGCCCCAGGGCGGCTGGTCTGGGGCTGCTGGGTTCTGCTGCCCTCCAGTGGTGCGGCGTCTGAACACCGCCAGGGAGCGCCCACGTCTCCTGCCCGCGGGTGTGTCCAGGTCGTGCCGGTTGCCCAATTTCGCCCTTACCAGCGGCAGAGGGAAGCCGTTGCGCGTCATCCCCGGAGTCCAGCCGAAGGGCAAGGAGAGCCCGTCCTCGTACTCGGCCGGCAGCCAGCGTGCCAGCGCCCTGTTGGCAGCACCCAGGGCGGGCTCCCTCCTGCAACCCAGCGAGACAGCGCTCAGCCTCGGGCAGGCTGGTGGGCCCCTGGTTCCGAAGCATAAAAGTGTCCAGGACAGGAAGGGGTGGTAGGCGGTGGAGGTGTCCCTCAAACGCAGGGGTTCTGCCTGCCCCCACCCTTTCCCATGCCTCCCCTTAAGTCCTGAGGAGCAGAAGCAGGTGCAGCCCAGGAGCAGGTGCAGAGGTCCCAGTGGGGAGTTGGGGGTATAAGATGGTGGGAGTCCTCAAGGCTCGCCCCCAGGGGCTGGGCCCTCGTTGGGATTCCGGCTCGTGGTCACCTGTTGTTACAGTGCCCGGTGATGGTGCGGTAAGGGCTGTCAAAGTCGCATTTCAGGACAGGCGCAGGGCCCTCACAGCCCACCTCCCAGGAGAGTGAAGCCAGGGCTGGGCCTGAATAAGACAGACCACAAGCAGGCTGCTTAAGTTGGATCTCCATCAGAGGGCTTGGTGGAGGCAGAAAATCAGAGCCAGGGGTACCCACCCCCCGGATGTTCTAGCACAAGAACAGGGTACAGTCTCAGTGCATTCTCTGCAAAGCCCCTCATGCAGCTGGTTTTGATGCCCCCCCCCCCCCCCGTCCCTGACAGAAGTGGCCAAACTGGTTTGAGACAGCTGTCCTCTAAGCGGCTGCTGGTTCTGCTGGCCTGGACTGCGGTTCCAAGAAGTGCTTCCTGGAGTTCAGAATTGCTCCCCACAGCTATGGGCTGATGACGCTATTCTGCCCTCAGGAGCATCCATACCTGTGATGTTGGTTGAGGGTGTGGCCCGTCTCAGTCTCTTGAAGGACTCCTCCCACACCTGCCCACTGCGGATGGCGGTGCGTGTTCTGCCCTTGGCATGCTTGAGGTACTCTGAGAGCCGTGGTGTGGTGGGCGTCCCGGAGCTCATGGTGGCCCTCAGCCTGCGGAGGAGATCCGTGGGGCATCCTGACCTGGTCCCTGTGCAAGGGGTTGGTGGCTCACCACCTACAGAGGGTCCTGAGGTGGTGTGGGTGCAGGGAGGCACAGAGTACAGGAGGCCAAGCCAGCGGGACCTTGGCACCCCTTCCTGGCCATCTTTTATGCCCTGGGAGCTCGCCTGCAGCCATTCAGTTCTGTCTGGAGTGGCTATAGCTGAGGTGTGTCGGGGAACCCCAGAACCACCACAATCCCAGGGCATCCTGATTCAGACTTGAAGAATGCCTGCTTGTAGCTGACATGCCACTGAATCTGGGGAGAATTGTGAAGATAAGGTGTTGCTGGATTTCCATCCCCACACCTGAAGGCATCCCTCCTTGCATCTGCCCCCGGAGCAACTGGTGTGGAGTTGGGGGCTAAGGCCAAAGCGCCCAGCCTGGGGTCGAACGCCTTGGACCTGTAGCTCGGCCTCTTTTTTGCTTGACGTTCCATGTGGAACACGGGAAACCAAAACCCTTCCACTGTGAAGCTTGTGACAGCACAGAGAGGTGGACCAAGGGGGGGGGGTGTCAGAAAAGTCCTCCCCTTGTCTTCCCAGCCCCACTGAGGACTTTGTACCCCCCAACTGTGCCTCACTTTCCCCAGGTATGAGATGAGAGGTGGCTCTGACCACACAGCCAGACTTGTGACTGCACAGCAGGCCATGACCTCTGTGTGAAGTGCCAACAGCACAGTGTCTCTGCTTGCAGGACTGCAGGGGTGAACAGGGTAGGCACGTGTTGGTGCCCTGACACAACGGACCTCTCAGTAGGCCTATTCACTCCCAGCCTCCCACACCCTGGGGGAAAAAAAACAACACCCAGGAAATAAGCCCCATTGTTCTTGCTGCTGTTGCAAGAGACTGGGTGACGCAGAGGCCCAGGGTGCTGCCTGGTGCTGCCAGCTGTTTAGACAGACACATGTTAGATTGAAACACAATGGAAAACAGCTCCTCACTTGCATGGGCCACAATTCAGTGCTCAACAGTTACTTGTGGCTAGGGCCCACCACATTGGATGGACAGATACAGAACTTTTTATCACAGGAAATCCTGTTGGGCAGTGCTGGCCTGGAGCATGAGTCTGGAACCAGGCAGAGCCTGCTTGGAATCCAGGTCCCTCTAGGATCGCCTGAATTCAGTGGCTGACCACCGAGTGAGCATCCCCTTGCCTCTGGCCTGACTTCCTTTGCAGACCTCCCCGTGGCCTTAGCAGTCCATAGGCTGGTTTACTCCTGACTGTCACCTGCTAGGTGTGTGCACTTGAGCAGCTTTCAGCCTCTGTGCACCCACTTTGCTGATGAGTAAAGTAAGGATACTGATTATAACTGTAGGCTGGACTGTGCTGTTTGACCATTTTTGACTTCCAAAGGAGCTCTTTAGTATATAGTTCCATTCAGAATTCTGTGGGATTTCAGCATGAAGGTGAAGCCTTAGAGCTGCACTCTTCACCATAACCAGGTAAGTTCCTCCCAGGTTTCACCCTGGAGGGTCCCTGGTGGGAGTCTTTGTGCTCCCTGGCCCTACCCAGGGGCTTCCCTCCTGATGCCCTACCCCCAGGGGGGTCAGAGAACCAGGCAAGGAGGGAGGAAGGGAAGCTAGTCAATGCTTCTTGCACTCCCTCCAGGCCTTGGGCAGCTTTGAGCCAAGGACAGCGAGATGCCTGGGGCTGTGCGTCCCTGTGTTGGCAGTCCTGCTGGTCTGAGGCTCCTGGGAGCTGGAGATGAGCTGTGGGACCATGCCCAACTCCACACCTGTAGCAGGTAGTCCCCCTCTTGCTCCGAGGGGAGACAGGCTCTGAGGGGGTACCTTATACCCCAGGTGTCCCTCAGGTCAGACTGAGGCTAGACCTGAAGCCAAATGCATGCTTAGCTTCTTCCTTGTGCTTTTTCTTGCTTCTGTTATTGCGCTGTGGTGTCCCTGAGAGCACTCCCTTTCCAAGCCACCCGTGCCTGAAGCCAGGACTTGAACCAGGCCCAAGGTCATTCATTACTTGCACAAGGGCAGAACTTCTACCTGCGAACTTCCTGTGTGACTTGAGCACCACTTCCCAGATCAGAGAGTCGGTGCAAGATTAGATCAGAAGTCCTCTCCCAAGGACCCCCCAAAGCAGAGGGTTTCAGGTGTGGTGAGCGGGGAGGAGTAGAAAGGCAAGTTTGATCTCTGCTTTGGTCAGGGCTAGCATGGAGACATTTGTTCTTCCCAGGGGCCATGTCAAGGGAAGTGTATGTGTGTGTGTAGGTTGAAGGTGGGGAGGATGCGAGAGCAAGAGAGAGACAGAGGCACACCTGATTCGGGAGTCCAGGAAGGCTTTGTTGACTTGGTCCTTGGCCTGGCTCACAGCATCAGAGATGGCGGCAGCTCTGGTGGTCCCTGTTGGGGAGTGGGGTGAGGACAGCATCACGTTCTTCTCCAGTGAGATGCCCTCTGCATCTGTGTCCCTCCTTGTCAGCTGCTCCCTCTGCCCCTCTGGGCAGGGGGCAGATCCAAGACTGGGACACGCTCACGAGCCTCTCTAAAGGGAAAAGCTCGGAATGGGAAGCAGATGCTGGGTCCTCAACGTGACATCGCAATGACGCTCTGGAATTCCAACCAACTGAGCATGACCATTCAGGTGGCCTCCAACAGAGCGCAAGACTAGGGCTTCTTCCAGGAGAGGTGGTCTCCTGGACCCTCAAAAGGCATGCTAGCCACCAGCCTCTGTCTAGGGGTTGGGGTGGGGTGAGGGGAGTGGTGGGATTTTTTGGTGGCACTCAGGCTGAGGTCTGCAGTGTGGCCACAGGACCCCTTCCTGGGATGAGGAGAATGGAGAGGGGTTAAACAGCACCCACAGCTGAAATCCATGTGTGCTTGGGACCCTGTGTGACATAGGGTTTGTAGGTGCAATCCATTCACACTGGATTAGATGGGCCCTAAAGTGGTGGGTGTTGTAGGGAGAGGACACACAGGCAAGGCTGTGTGGAGTCACAGGACGGTTGGCAGGATGGAGCTACCAGCCAGGGAACACCGAGGAAACCAAGAGCCACTAAGCAAGGCTCCCTAACTTAGGGCCACTGGAAGCGTGTGGCTCTTGCCAGCCCCCTCTTTCTGGGGTTCTCATCTCCCAGACTGCGAGATGTTGGACATCTACTGTCCTCAGTGACCTGGCTTTGGTACAGCGTCCCCTGAGGCACTTACCACCTATGACAGATGCTGCAGCCTGCAGTGAGAACAGGACAGCCAGGAGCGCAGGGTGGTGCAGAGGGAGCCTCATTCCTGAAACAACATGCAGGTCATGCAGGAGTCTCACGGGAGCCCCAGTGGGAAGGACTGCATACAGAACAAGGGGACCAGTAAGGGACTGTTGGCAACGCCCATGTCACCGTGTATCCCAAGCCGAGCGGAGGGACTAGGGTTGAAAAGAAGACAACACGCACTGGGTCATTCGCGTAAGGAGAATGCCGAATGCCGTTTATTGAACCTGCAGGCTGTCTTTTATACTCTGCCTAGTGCCTCCCAGTGTTTATCCAATCCTCAAGCTGCCACCCTAAAATCCCCTGGGGACATAATTTGACAAACAGGAAGCAGGAACTTGTGGTTAAGCTGGGAGGCTAAATGTGTCATGCCAAGATTGCACGCCCTGTTACACCTCTGAGAAACAAGCTAAGCTGTGGAGTTAACCCTTGGGAGAATGGGCCCTGCAAAGGACAGTCACATTCGCTCATGGAGCATCTGCTACATGCACAGGCTCCTGCTGGGTGCTGAGGAAGATGGAAGGAGGTGAGAGAGATTCTCCCAGCCACACTGGCAGGGAGCTGGGTCAAAGTAGAACAGCTGGGACTTTAAGCCACACTCTGACATGGGAAGCTGGTGCTTCAAGTAGTGGCTTAATCTGCTGTGACACAAGCCAGGGCCCAATCCCCAGGTCTTCTTGAACCTGAAAAATGTTAGAGCCTAAAGTGTGCCTCTGATGTTCTCCTGCCTTCTGCCCTGCCCTTTTGTCTCCCGGGTTCAGCGCCAGACATGCGTGCCTGACAAGCAGTCCCCAGCTCTGCCCTTCTGCCAGCAGCTCTACTCTCCTTCAAGAACCTAGTTTAAGGGGCCACATGGGCGTCCTGTACGGGAATGGTTTGAATTTTGACTGTTCCACCTTCCATCGAGCTTTCTGCTAATGTGCTGGGAAAGCTGCAGAAGCTGGCTCCCAGCTGTTGACTTTGGCCTGTCCCAGCCCCAGCTGTTGGAGTCACTTTGGGAGTGGAACAGTAGATGGTAGATTCTCTTTCTCTTGTTCTTTGTCTCTTCTTTGTATGTAACTCTGTCAAATATATATATATACATATGTATGTATATATTAGTTTAGTATAGAGACAGGAAGAGAAGAACAGATTTTTCTATCTGCTGGTTCACATTCCAGATGCCTACAATGGCTAGGTCTGGGCTAGGTCAAAACCAGGAGGCTAAAACTCCATCTAGGTCTCCATGGGCAGCAGGGACCTAAGCACTTAAACCATTTTCCACCACCTTCCCAGGCATATTAGCAGGGAGCTAAGTCAAAAGTGGAGCAGCCAGGACTTAAACAAACACCCCTTTGGATGCCAGTGTTGCAGGTGGCAGCTTAACTCTGTACCACAGTGCCAACCCGGAAAAGTTCACTCCATGACCACCTCCTTTCCCTGTGTCATTCTTTCCTGTGACTCCAGGAGACCCAAGGCAAGGTTTGCTGAGTCAGCAGAAACCTGCTCTTTCAGGCAAACAAAAATAAGAGTTTGGGATTAAACGGTATTGTTAGCTTTTCAAAAAATTATGTAACATTGAACCACAACCATTTTAACTGTAGGGTATGTTCACTTGTTTGCATTATTGTGCAACAGATCTCTAGAACTTTGCCATCTTGCAAAACTAAAACTCCATATCCAATAAAAACTGATTTTCCATTCCCACCCCAGCTCCCGACCCCAACAAGCGTTACAGCACTGGTTCTCGCAAAACGCTAGGGAGCATCTGTGCAACCATGGCATTATTCTCTGAATGACCAATGTGGTGTATAACAAATTACCATCAGAATCAGAAAGTGAGAGTAGAAGGTTCATCAATGAGAATGTGTCATTGTCTGGGATGAATTGAGGTGGAAACCCGTAGTTGCCAACCTGTCGGTTCAGGCTGCTTTCCATTACCTTGTTCCTGGTTGATGGGGGTAAAGGGCATGCAGCAGGAGGCAGAGACAGGCCCATGGGGGGCTGTGCCACTGAAAAAGGGACGTGCAAGAAGGTCACGCGGGGCCACTGTCCTCAGCCAGGGTAGAGGGGCATGGGGTTTCAAACGAGCAAGGCCAACCAGAGACTTCTGTGCTGTGTTGCTATTTACTTACATTCCCATTACCAAGGTCAACATAGAAACATTCCCCAAGCCCAGAGCCTTCTCCAAAGTGTGAGTATCTGGAGGTAGATCCAAGGTCTAGACCACTCATGCCAAGCTATCCACAAGCTGCATCTCTACCCAGCCCACATGTCACTTCCTCTGTGAAGGTTACCCGATTTCTCCATGAAAGCTTAGGTCATTTCTTCTTTAGGCTCTGTAGGATTTAACTCATACATCCCTGCTTTCATATCTTGCTTCCACTGTCAGACCATGAGCTCCTCAGGGCCATCTCTTATTTTCTTGGTTTTCCCAGGGCCCAAGGAGAGTGTCAGAACATTAAAAGGTGTGGGGTATGTGCCGAGCGGGTGAGACTCCCAGAGTAGGGGAGGAGCCGAGCATTGGGAGGTGGCAGAGAGTGAGGAAGGTGAAGGGCTTGTAGCAGGCTCCTCATACTGTCAAAGACCTACTCATGTCCTGAGCATCCTGGCAATTGCAGGTTCTTAGAATGCCATGGAAGGGACCCAGGAGTCCATGCTTCGAGCAGGTTTCTAGGGGATGCTTGGGCCTGCAGACCACACTCTGAACCCCCAGGCCTTCCGCACAGACTCGCTGGGTGGGCAGTTGCCAAGGAGCCAGGATGGGGACCTGAGAAAGGAAGGAATTACCAGCCATCTTTTCCATGAATGACAGAGTCCTTCATGAGTTCTCGCAGGAGATGATAGAAGAGCTAACTCTGGCCCCCACAGGAGCATGCTAGTTGGTCTTTGGGAGCGGCTGCAGGTTCCAGAGCAGAATGCTGTGATGAGATAATGGCTACGTGAGATGTATACGTAGCTAGATACAGGTTTTCATCCATGGTTCTTGGCTTGTTACTCCCTTTCTGAGTCAGGCCATGGCAACCACACTTCCTCTTTCTCAGTGTGGGCTATGCAAACTCTCATCTCCCCAGCCCCAAAGAAAGTTCCCAATCTACCTTGTCTGTTGGTATATAAGACCCTCATTTCATGAGGGGGTATTGCCCCTCTAGTTGGAAAAAGGTATACTACTAGAGAGGCCAGGAGGAATGTGAACAGACGGGTCCTGCTGGCCCGCCTTCTGCAGTCCCCTAACGCCGGGTCTGCACAATTGTGCATGTGTGTGGAGTATGTGTGCAATACAGCTTCCTTGAAAGCCTGAAAGGACAGGATCCAGCAAGCTTCCAGGTAGCTGAGTACGCTCAGAGTCGGGGGACAGGGGTGTGGTTTCCTGGAGGTGGCAGTCCAGCAAGGGCGTGCAAGCTCTGTCCCCCTCCTCCTCCGCTCCCCCAAAGTGCCTCCTCATCTGTGCCCCTTTTAGTAGTGTCTTTTACAGTAAGTGCAAGTGTCTCCCCGCGTTCTGTGAGCTCCTCTAACAGACTAATCAAGCCAAGAGAGGGACTTGGAAGGACCCCGAGGTACAGCCAGCTGGTTAGCTGGAAGCAAAGGAAGAGCAGGGTGCTTGCCACTGGTATCTGAAGGAGCGGGGCTGATGCAGGGGCTGAGGGCTCTGTCTGTGGGCCCTGACCTATTTCCCTGGCAGATTGCATCAGGACCGGCAGGAGGCCAGCAGAAGGGTTTCATGAGTGTGGAGGAAGGGAAACAGAGTCTGTTTTCCTTCTGCATCCTCGGTGGTTCTTCCCAAGTCCCCAGGAACAATCTACCTGGGCCAAAGGGCTCGGGGCACCCAGTTGCACAAAGAAACCTTATGTGATTCCCAGCATTCCAGCATGAATCCTGTCACATGCCTGCGCCTTAGCGGGAGTCGGTTGTCCACGGGGCATTTAAGTCAATGGGAGCAGACACTTGGAGCTGAGTGTATGTTCAAATCATCTGCAGACAGCAGGTGTGAGATGTGGAAACAAAGTGAGGATCTGAGAGCCATGACTTAGGGAAGCCCTTCAAACACTGTACAACCCCCACGATGGTGGCTGGATCCGATCCTGTCAGATGAGTTTCAGGGATACGCATGGGGCAGCAGTCTATAGCTGTCCGTCCCAGCCTTCCCTGTGACCCTGGACACACGATGCCTCCTAGGCTTCACTTTCCAAGCAAGACGGAAGGAGAAGTCTAGGATGCCTCCTAGCTCTCAGAACTGATTCTGCGACTTGGTTTTCAGGAGCACAAAGCCTTTTTGTCCCACAGTGGATCCCATTTTCTTGCACACCAAACAGAGAAGACCTGCAGTGGTGGTAGCTAACTCTAGCGCTAGGAAGGCCAGTCCAAATGTGTACTAAGCGTTTTGAGAAACCTTTAGGAAATATTATCACTGACTTCCTGGCAGAAACAGGGACAGAGTGGGGTTAGCAAGTCTTACCTGCTGGGGGCTTGGGTCACCTGTCGTGGCCAGCAGAGCTGGTCTGCTTGGAGATGTTGGTCTTTTATACCTTCTAGCAAGTATTTATCTTGGGAAAAGGCCAGAGGAAAGGCTTCCAGGGGCTGGCTGGGCTTGGTATAGACTCTTGGTTCATCAGGAAACATCTTGTGACTTCAGGTAGATGTACGAGGAAACGCAAGAAAAGTCAGGATGGGTGTTGCAATGCCACTGAAGCTGGGTAAGGCAACTCCTCTTCTTCCCGTGTTTCAGCTTAAACATGTAGCCCTGTACCAGTCGTGGAAAGAAAAGATAGAGTTTCCTTCTAGAAGATTCTGGCACAGACCAAGTGTGCTGTTGAGGGAGTTGATCAAATTTTCGAAACTATTTACTTTTATTTATTTGAAAGGCAAACACACACACACACACACACACACACACTTTCTAGCTGCCAGTAACTCCCCCAAAGCCCACAATGGCCAGAGCTAGGCCAAGCCATCAAGAGCCTAGGATTCCATGTGGGTCTCACAGAGGGGTGCCAGGGACCCAGTTACTTGAGCCATCACCTGCTGCCTTAGCAGAATGTCAGCATCAGAGGCTGAACTGGGACTCAAACCCAGATGCTCCAATTAGGGATGTGAGCATCCAAAGCAGCATCTTAAACGCCTGCTGCCGACTAAGCAGGTGTGGTGGCTTCTAAGATGAGCACCACATAAGGATTCTGGGGACGTGGGGGCACCCCAGGACCCAGCCTGCTTGGGTGGCAGCAGTGCTGCTTCTTTCCACTCTCATGCAGCACCCTTATTTTTTAAGGCCATCCTCTTGTTTCCCATCAATGTTCCATTTCTCTCTCCCTCTTAACTATCTAATATTATGGGCTTCCCAATTTTTCTTCCAGTTCTTTTTCTTCCCCATTAGCTCACACATTATGAATTCTGATAGGTTTGCTTCATATGAAAAAACTGACAGATCTGTTTCCTGCCTTGGCAGGGTGGTGCAGCAATATCACTGGGAAAGATAACAGATATCAGAACTCAGCCAAGACAGTTGAGCCAAAATAAATCCTGAGATGATTGCAGTAGAGATGGGGTGATCAATTATCATATAAGTCACAAACATGGGATTTGAAACAAAAGCTGTCTGGACTACTATTGTGATTTTGTGAGGAGTCTGAGGAGGTAGGCTTGACGGTAAATCCATCGAGGATGTAGCATTCTGGTTAAATACCCCATTTTCAGCAAGTACTTGTGCATGTACATATGTACAGACATACACACAGATGACTCTGAGCTACTGGTAGAGATGCAAGCCGCATTGGATGATTAAGACTTGGCAAGCTGGGTTCCCTCCTAACTTCTTGTTCCTCGTCTGTGTGCAGTTGGGCTGTGGTTTGCATGTGGTATTACCCTCAAGAAGCCATGTGTTGGGAGCTTGGTCCCGGAGTGGCTACATGGGGTGGTAGTGACACCTTTAAGAGCTGCAGCCCTATGGATGGTGCTTAGGCACCTGGAGGTGGTCAGGTGGGATTAAGCAGGTCTTGTGGGGATCTCAGTTAGTGCCCATGGGAGTGAGCTGTCGCATAGGAGTGAGCCGGATGCCTATGTGTGGGTTCCCCCTTTCCTGCTCCATTTGGCCTGGCTGTGCTGTCCCCATGATGTGCCGCAGGTCTAACGCACTTCAGTATCCAGCCCTGTGTACTAAATAAAGCTCCCATTCCTGTGAAGTGCCATGAAATACTGGGCAAGACAGCTGGGAAAGTGACTCTTCATTTGCAGGCATCAGTTTCCTTGTGTGCAAAGAGAATGGGTTCACTAAGTGGGTGGGTCCTGGGGGCTCTGAGGCAGGGAACTCTGCCAGGGAGGCCCCAGATCTAGGGCACACTCTGCCCTAGGCTATAACCGTGTACTCTGCATGCAGCCCCAGGCTTCCCTTACACAGAAGGAGGTCAGAGTGCACATGTCCTCACATGTTCTGATTCTGCCCTAATGCACACCTTTGCCACTGCTCTTCTGCCACCACTCTCTCTAACCTACACCTCCTCCTTTAGTGCACAGCTCCCCCACCCCTGTCTATGGAACCAAGCTGCAGAGTTGTCCAAGACCCTATGACTCTGCACTGCCAGGGCACCTCTCTCCCCACATGCTGCCCCTCACTCCTCACCCATGGTTTTCTTCTACTCAGACAGACCCCTCCTTCTTCGCCAACATGCCATGCTCATGCCTGCTTGGGAGCTTTCCCCTCTGCCATTGCCCATCCCAGCTCATTCTCTTCTTTCTTGTTCAAGTCCAGTATCTGACTCAAGTGCTTTTCCAGCAAGCCTCCTTACCTGCCAAGCTCCATAAAGCATTACCCTTTAGGTCTCTTCTTCTCCCCTTTGGTTTTTTTTATTATCTTTTTCTTTATCTTTTCTATTGTCCAAAGTAGATCAGCAACCCCTCAAGGGCTCCAATAAGTCTCTTGAGCAATTGTTAATGTTTGTTTTGATGATAAAGATGATGACAGTGGCATAAAAATCGCCTTGGCTTAGCTGGGTCTTGTAAGTTCCAGTTTTTTTTTTTAAGAGTATTTATTTATTTATTTATTTATTTATTTATTTATTTATATTGGAAACCCAGATTTACAGAGAGAAGGAGAGACAGAGAGCAAGATCTTCTATCCACTGGCTAACTTCTCAAGTGGCTGCAATGGTTAGAACTGAGCCAGAAGTTTCTTCCAGGTCTCCCACACGAGTATAGGATTCCAAGGCTTTGGACTATCTTCCACTGCTTTTCCAGGTCACAAGCAGGGAGCTTGGATGGGAAATGGAGCAGCTGGGATATGAACTGGTGCCCATATAGGGTCGCAGCACATACAAGGTGAGGTCTTTAGTCACTAGGCTATTGTGCCAGGCCCCTAAGTCTGAGTTCTTAACCCTCAGTTCTGTTCCTGGAAACTTTTCCAGCCTGATTGAATTACTGCGGCTACTCAAAGGGTAGCCAGAGGCTGTGATTTCTGGGGTTTTCTCTCCTCTCTTGCCTTTTCCCAGGACTTAGATCACCCAGTTTTCATCTCCAACTGGATAGAGACAGAGACCCCCAAGAAATCAGGTAGGACCTCTGGATCTTGGCCCATCTACAGTTGGTAGCTTGAGCCCATTATGGCTTTGGGATGAAATGTCACTGTTTGTTTCCTACTTGCTTAGGGACTCTGAGAAGCCACAGAGCCATGTGCATCCAGGGCTGGGAAAGTTGATTTCTTAGGTCTCTGTGCCCGATGGAGGCTGCGGCTCTGGGTGGTCACCCTTAGAAAGGCACCTGTTTCCCTGGATGACTCACCTGCAATGGTGGCACCTGCTGAGTCCTAGGGCGGGGGCGATCACTGGGACTAAATGACTGAACTCACACTACTTTCTTTCTGAAGCTCCACCCGGGTGACCTGGCACACGCGAGATTAACAGAAGCTCTGGAAGGTTGGGATGGAGGCTGGCTCAGACCGAGGAGCCACAGAAACCCTCGTGTTCTAGCAGGAGCCTGGGGAGGGTTCTCACTCTTCTCACAGCGCTAGGAAGGGGCCTGAAACTGGGAACAGGGAGGTAGGGAATTCTGTTCTCAATAAACACTCATGAGTGTGATAAGTCCTTGCAATGGGTAAACCATCGGTGGGGAGCATGTTTTGGAGCCATGACCTCTGCCGTACTGCCAACACAAGAGGATTGTGACCAAGCACCTCCAGAGGAACTTCAACATTACACACTTAAAAATCATGGTTATTTAGGGGAGAGGGAGAGTGAGAACTCCCATCTTCTAGCTGTCTCTCCAAATACATGCAATGGCTAGGGGCTGGGCCAGGGCCAGAGCAGGATCAGGAACTCCATTCAGATCTCCCCCATGGGCAGCATAAAGGGCTGATGCCATGTTGTAGTAGACTAAGCTGTGGCACTGGCATCCCATAAGGGAATTGGTTCAAGTTCTGGCTGCTCCTCCTCCCATCCAGCTCCCTGCTATGTCCTGGGAAAGTAACAGAGGATGACACAAAGCCTTGGGAGCCTGCACCCACTTGGGAGACCTGCAAGAAACTCCTGGTTTGAACTGAACCAGCTCTAGCCATTGTGGCCATCTGAGGAGTGAACCAAAGGTTGGAAGATCTCTCTGTTTCTCCTTCTCTCTGTAACTCTCCCTTCCGCACAACTTTTTTAGATTGATTTTACTATTTTTTAATTGGAAAGGTGGATATACAGAGAGGAGAGATAGAGAGGGAGATCTTCCATCCGATGGTTCACTCCCCAAGCTGCTGCAACAGCTGGAACTGAGCCATTCCGAAGCCAGGAGCCAGGAATCTCCTCCAGGTCTCCCACGCGGGTGCAGGGTCCCAAAGCCTTGGGCCATCCTTGACTGCTTTCCTGGGCCACAGGCAGGGAGCTGAATGGGAAGCAGAGACGCCGGGATCAGAATCAGCGGCCATATGGGATCCCAGCGCATGCAAGGCGAGGATCCTAACCACTACACCATCATGCTGGGCCCTTTCAAACAAAATTTAAAAATTAAATCTTTAAAAAATTTTTGGTGGGGTGAGCTCAGAGCAGGCTCTAGAGGCTGATTACCCAGCTCAGCAGCTGTGGGACCCCAGGAAAGTCACATGGGCTTCTAAGTCCTGGCTTCCTCCTCTGATCCACAGGAGTAACAATCCCAGGGTCTGGGAGTAACATTCCGGGGTCTGTGAGACCCTGGCAGTGTGTGCAGGTGCACGAGGCCTGACTCCTCAGGCTGATTTGGGAGTCATGAGAGGTGAGCAGCTACTTGAGCCTCGCTCAGTCTCACGCGGCCACCCGTTGGCGTCTCAGCCTCGTCTGAATCCCCACTTGCAATCCAAGGAGGATCAGGGCAGAAACTAAGAAAGGAAACGGCTTAAGTGCCATGTCCTCATTGCTGGGCTGCGTGTCAGACAGCAGGCAGGGAATGGGTTTCTTTTTTTGGCTTGTGCTGCGGGATTGCCTGGCCGTCCTTGTGACTGTGTGGCTCCCATGGGCTGCTTGCTTGCTGTCTGATGGGGA